TCGGAAGAGACTTTATTTTACCTCTGTATTTGGCACTGGTGCAATTGCTGCTGGAATCCTGTGTCAAGTTCTGTGTCCACAACTCCAGATAAATTGGAGAGGGTGCAGAGAAGAGCCACAAGAATGATTAAAGGATTAGAAAACCTGCCTTATAGAGAGATACCTAAGGAGCTCAACCTATTTAGCTTAACAAAAGAGAAGGTTACTGCGTGACTTGATTTCCGTCTGTAAATACCTGCTTGGGGAACAAATATTAAACAATGGGCTCTTCAATCTAGCAGAGAGTTATAACATGATCCAATGGCTGGAAGCTTGACAAGTTCACACTGGAAATATTATAAAAATTTTTTAACAGAATTAACCAACCATTGGAACAACTTACCAAGGGTCATGGTGGATTCTCTATCGCTAACAATTTTAAAATCAAGTCTGGATGTTTTTCTAAAAGGTTTGTTCTAGGAATTGTTTTGGGGAAGTTCTATGACCTCTGTTATTCAGGTCAGATTAGATGACCACAATGGTTCCTTCTGGCCCTGGAATCTATGAAGCACATGCTTACATATAAGCAATATTTAAACTTGGTCCTGAAAAAGGCTTTCATGAATCAGGGCCAGAAAACCAAGTGATAAAATTGATAAATAAATATTCTAGGCTCAGCTTATCAAATTCAACCATCCTGAATTCCAGCCCCCGAATCTTCCAACACTTATTGAGGAAACCCCAGAATGCTGGCTCCAAATCGGATGCACCTCAAACTGGTGGAACTGGCTGTCAAAATATAAATATCCCCTTTGAAAAAAGTGCACCGCTCGCTGACTGAGATTAATTCGAAACGATAAAATCGATTTTGGCGCTACTCCGCTCGTCGGGGTGGAGTACAGAAATTGATTTAAAGAGCCCTTTATTTCGAATTAAATGGCGTCGTTGTGTGGACGGGTGCAGGGTTAATTCGATTTAACGCTGCTAAATCCGAATTAAAGTCGTAGTGTAGACCAGGCCTTAAAGAGAACAACAACAACAGCCGCCTCACTCTAGGGGCAGCAAAAATCAACCTGTAAGGTCCCTTAACTATCTGCAGAGCCGCCATTAACAAACACAACTCCATCAACTGGGTGATAACAGAGAGGACACACACAAGCAGAGAGGAAGGCTAAATCTGAGCTCCAGCTCCTCGGGACCATTAGGGACCCAAGGAAAAAAACTACCCTTGCATTTGACAAAAGAAAAAAAAAGAAAAAATTGGTGGGGAAAGGAATTTTATTTCCAAGTTTCTAGAAGGCTCTTACAAAACATGGAGAGTTAAAGAAAAACATATAGGGTCCTTTCAAGCATTTCTTCACATTATTCTAACGGTGATAGGAAATACCATTTAACTGTATATGAATTTTTCCGGTAATCCCAATCACTGTCAACTGATGACAGGAATCTTTCCATGCAGAATTTCCCCTAGATTGTGCAGTTCTGAGTTTGTTATTTCACCCTGAAAGAAAAAGAATTGATCAGAAACATAACCAGCCCCACCCCCCCATTTTTTAAAAAAAGTGCTGTAATCCCCTGCTATTTCAGTACAGGGACCCCTCTGAGCTCTTCAGCCCCAACCAGCACCACCTTTCTTTTCCAACCTGGGGCCCCCACACAGCTATGTCAGTAGACCTCTATTCAGACCAAGCAACCCGCCTGCTATTTGAGTTCTGAAGTTCCCTGGGGAAGAGGCTGCCAATGCTAACAGTGTTGTTTTGTGTGTGATGTAGCTAAATGCCCACTGGGGATTAGGATGAGCTCAGCACATTCATTTTCCTCCTCATCAGGTTTTTCCACCCAGATCTTCAAAGCTCAAAGGCTAGTGCATTTGTTCACTGAGCCACACAGCCCGCCTGCCCCCGCCCCAATGTGTACAAACAAACAGCTCTGAATTGGAAAAAATCCTCAGGAAATAAACACAGAGAAAGCCACAACAAAGAAATGGAAATGGGGCAGTTCCATTGTCTGCAAGTTGCCCCTCACGGTGAACTATTGTGGCAGATTTTAGACACCACCCAAAATAAACCAACCAAAAAGACAAAAACTAAAAAAAAAACCCACCAGGAAAACAGTTTTACAAACACTTAATTTCCAGCTTAAGTGAAATCAACAAATTTTAAAATTCATAATCATTAGAGTAACAAAAATTAGCTATTTCCCATTGTCTTTAGAACAACAAAAATTCACGCCTCGGAGGCAGAGGGCTAAAACCAAGTGTCTCTTACAGGGACATGCTGTCCCACTCCAGAGATGTTGAAGGCCTCCTTCACGTCCCATTCCTATCAGAGATCACCCCTCAAGGGCCGAATGTCTCTCGCTGTCTCCAGTCATCTGGTATCCCGACTCTGGCAAAGCGTTTGTCGCTGAAGCCAGATGGTGGAGTGGAAAAGCTGAGTTCCATTCCTGGTTTCTTCCCCAGGAACCCAGGCTTCTCTTATTGCACAGCTCAAAAGCATGAAAGAAGGGTATTGGCCATGCATTGCCTTCCTCCTTCCTAGCTACACTTAACACATGAAACAGGCAACCACAAACTCCCCGGCCATCTGTGTGAAAAAAGGGTATATATTCAGCACGCATTCAATACAGTAGAGCGAGAAGCTATCATTTCCTTTTAAAAAACCCAAACATCCAAAATCAAGCCCACCCCCCTTTTATCACAGTCCGAGTGAGGCAACCAATTCCAAACACAACAGAAAACAAACTAAACACTCTGGGTTGTTTCTCCCAAGAAACACGATTGGTCTGAAAGTCAGCAGAGATTAACAGCAGAATGGCTGGTATGGAAAGGTCCATGCTGGGGATGGAGGGGAACAGATTGAGAGAGAGGAGAAAGACCATCTGTCTGGCAGCTCTGCGGCTGGGTACTGGAAGAGGGAGAGCAGTGAGTGTCATGGAATGCTAAAGTATCAGGGGGTAGCCGTGTTAGTCTGTATCTACAAAAACAACAAGGAGTCTGGTGGCACCTTAAAGA